TATGTTCTGTATAACTAGAGTTACAAAATTGGAATTCTGGTTGTCAAATTGGCTAATTGCAATTGCATAATTACAAAAAAGCAGTGGCTCTATTGAAATTGGATAATTGCATAACCATTACAGTGGTTTCGCTATATATACTGGTACACACCTGCACACTAATTGCCGTAAGAGTCTGTAAAATAGCATGTAACTGCGTGTCGTTAATGTGTAATTGCTGAGTGATTAGAGAGACAATGCAGAGCGATTGGTAGTGCGTTGGGGCTGCTGGTGCTTGTGGGCAGGGCTGCACTGCAGTGACTCTTCTCCAATGTATAAGCACTTCAGGATCCTTGAGAATGAAGTGCTGCAACAGTGCAGCAGTTTTTGATGTACAGTACAGTATCTATATAAATACTGCCAGAAAGTGGGCACAGAGGTTTGGAGTGTGTTGATGCCACTAGGGCCTCAGCCTTCGGCCTTGCAAACTGGGAACCAGCAGCTTTTGGCTTTCATTAATTTTTCTATGTGTTTCCTTTGCTTTCCGTGTGGATCTTCATGTTTTTGGAGTTAACCAGGCCCGTGGTTTTGCTTTCCTCCTCGGCCGCTGTCTAGCTCTCTGGTCTGAGGGCTCATGGCTCGTGACAGGCAGGGCTCTGAAAAAGGCTGTTGTTGTGTCACGCCTTTATGAGAATTCCTCTTTGCTGGTTAAATTAAGGGACAAGTGTGGGAGGTTTAGACTGGGGGAAAGAATAAGATGCCTTTTAAGTAATGGGTTTTAAAACCTAGAAACTTTAAGTCCTGTTACTCATTATGCAATACACAGTCTGGTGTCTGTGGTGAGAACAGTAACTAGGAACAGATGGAAAAGTGCAATCAGCGTGGAAAAGACTTTATATTCGTTTTTTTATTGCTTTGAAGTGAAGTCAGGTGAGGTGGAGCTGTGGGCTGCGCAGTGTTTCGTGCTGCTGCTGGAGTCCGATGAGACCTGCAGGGAACTCTTCGCACTGCCTCGTCAGCAAGTGTACTGGATCAGAACCACTTGGAACCTGCTGCAGGGCTGAGGGTTACACAAATTGAAACCCTTAAGAATACTGTGATGATTAATGGTTTTCTGTTGAAATTGCTTTAAATCTGTTGCTTCATGCACCAAAAGTCAGATACTGTATACTCGAGCATCAGTAAAAGCCCAAAAGTGGATTTCTGTTGAGTTACACTGTGGTAAGCCTCCTGATCAGAAGTGTTGTGTGTTTTGCATGCTGGATTTCAGAAGGTGGTCAGGAGCTTTGAGGCATATCTCAAGAGCACTGCATGGTGTTTCAGACTTTAACCCATTTCAGTGTCAGAGCAGAGTATGTAAGAGCAAATTCAAGGGTCATCTAGATGGATGACTTGACCATAGTAAACTGGAAAGAAAATGTTGGCAACCACTTTCAAACAATATCTAAACTACAGAAAGCTTTTTCTATAAGGTGCATGAATGTATTTATTGACAAAAACCAGACCACAGTGTGTATAGTGTCTTAAAGGGATGATAGTGTTTAATCACACAGCCCCAACATTCAACTTACATCTCAGAGACAATCAATCTGAATTGTTAATGCAATTAAATTTTAGACCACAGGTGCAGTTGGTCCATGCTGTCCTTGTGTCCGCCTGGAGAGAAGGGTCAGGAAAACCCAGGGAAAGACAAGCACTTTGGAAAGATGTGGGCAAACATTCTGTAAGACTAGTGCCGGCAGTTTGGGCTCGGGCCTCGAATCCGTCTTCCCGAAATCAGGGGCAGAAGGAGCTTGTGTCTCCCAGCCAAGAGCCGGTGCCCTTCAGTGAAGTACAGCAGGAGGGGCTGAGCCGAGGGGCAGGACTTCTCCTGCTGGAGAGAAGCATGCGCAGGCTGTTTGCACAGACCCCTCCACTGGTGCTGCTGAGAGCGAAATCAAGCAGCAGCGGAGAATCAGCTGTCCAGTTATTCACCGCGCCCATGAGGCCTTTCCAAAGAGGGCTCGTTGCCACCAGTTTTTCAAAAGACATACAAGTCAAATTATGGAACAGTTTCAGACTATTGAAAAACATGCTGATTATGCCCAAGACAGAGAAGAATGTAATTCTAAATATCTTCAGGTCCTGCCTATTTAGTCATTAAGGATCCCTGGAACTGTTCATAACAGCAGGAGTGTTAACCTGCTATTCTAGTAAAGGTTCCCCTGAATTCTGTTCTGTGTTTTGGAGAGATGTGAGGTGGAGCAGTAAAAACTAAATATTACGGTTCATCAAACCTCTCTTGGTTCCTTTATCTGTATTTTTCTACACATTTTCTGTTGTTTTCTTTGCTTGGGATATTTTAATGGAATTAACCCTATTAAACAATAATTTTTTCTCTGGGTTAGCAGTGTAGCATATTTGTTTTCAGCTGCTGCAGTTCTTGACATTTGAAAACACTTTTCATCAAATGAGATTTGAGCAGGTAGATGTTGGTTCTTACTGCTGACTGACAGTCTAAATTGAATCGCCCAGTTCCTCGGAGGGCTGGCTGACATTTTGAAAACTTTATGCCTTTAGGTTAAATGCATACTTAATTCCCCTTTTGCTTTAAAGCCCACAAAGGCACTGAAAAAAAAATTACCATTTTCTAACGAGGAAAAAAGCCATTGGTGTTATAGTTTGAACGTATGAAAAGCATCAGTCGCAGCAATGAAAAATAACTTTTGGCTTCTTGGTACAATGTTGAATTTGAACTATAGATGCAGATTGTTAGACTGCAGGAGCTTTGTGTCATTGTTTGCATCTCAGGACCTGTTAATGCTGTTGCTGTTCCTGCTGCTGGCGGCCGCAGGGGAGGCCCTTGATCTCAGCTGGCCAGTTCGAAGTGATGAAGTCAAAGAGCCTGTGGCCATGCTCTCCTCATGCTGCTGCGAGTGGTGTTGCTGGAACAGTAGGTGGCGCTCTTCACTCTGGGCCAGGATTTACCACACAGCGCCTCAGCTGTGTCTTGTCCTCGCACCTGTCCTTGTGCATTCTGTCCTTGCACCTTGTGCATTCAGAGACCACAGAACTGCATCACGTTCTGCCAGATCAGCACTCACCTTGGTAATGGAATGCAGGACGCTATTAAAAAAAAAGAAATAGAAAAAATGTATATACCGTACAGAGGCTTGGAAAATGTAAAGACCCCAAAGTGGGGATACCTAGCTTTCTGCTGTGTTTGTGAAGGAAAATATCCAGATCATTCAGAGCTCTCTTCTGAGACAAGGCGTCTCAGATAATGAATCCGATGCCCTGGCGTCTTTCAGCAGACAGCTGGCTGAGATCCTTTGGTCAGTTCACTACAAAATACCAAATGGCTAGATGGGCTAAATGCCCCCTCCCTCTCGTAACTCTTCTTATATTCTAGTTCCTCTGCTCTCGACACTCAGTTCTGAACCCAGAGCCTTGTCCTGCCATTGCAGAGCTGCTGTCTCTGACAGAAACTGTCCTGCCTGAATCAGTACAGGCCAGGCTTCTCACTCTGATGTCCCTGTCATTGCTTCTGCTGTGCGATCCCACCAGGGGTTTAGAAAAACACCAGCAGGAAGAGGGGGTACTGGCCTGCGCTTGTCTGCGCTTTTTTATTTCGCTTTAAAAGGTCACGTCAGGTGATGATCTTTAGTCCTTTCAGCCCAAAGCATGTAAAAGAATAATGTTTTTCCAGTGTTGAGTGAATGATGGTTTCTGCAGTGAAAGCAAAGAACATACAGTTTTAATGTTAATCTTTTAAATCTATTAAAGCACGTTAAGCCTAAGCTCTGTGTTGTAGTACCTCCTCTGCAGCCTCTGTTGATTTGCTGAGCCTGTTTTACAGGAGTCGTGATATTTAATCTCGTTTCTGAAAGGGGCATTGTTACGCCTGGGAAACAGGGGACAGACTCAGAGCTGAGCCCCACTCGCTCAGGGCAGGCCGCAAGGGAAAGTGATATTCCTTCTGTGCACAGAAGGAAAATAATCACTGAGTAAAGCAAAACATGCCCACTGGGCAATGGGGCGGAGCTTGGGCGGAGCTGGGGCGGAGCTGGAACTGAGGTGCAGATCAAGTGCTTTCTGTGGGGTTGATGGAGTTGGACTGAAGTTTCTCTCTTGTGGAATGAGCCTGTCACACTTAGGTTCAGCAATTTCAAATACCTTGACACATATTTTTTGCAAGCTACTGTGTAATTGATGTAAATGAATCTCACCTATTCTGTCATCTTCATGTAACAGGGGTGTTAACCCCAGTGTCCATGCCAAATTTCCCCTGGCCTCCTTATAATCCCCATCTCTGAACTGGCTTCATCATTCTGTTTTCCTCCCCACTGAGAGCTGGTGCGTGGTGAGTGTACTGGTACATTTTGTGTGGAGTGTCTAAAAAATAATTATTTGATTATTTTGTTTTGTTTGGGGTCTGTGTGATAAGATGAGCTTTAGCCTGCAAATCAAATGCACTTGTTGTGTCAGTGTTTCTGAAAGCACTGTTACTTCCAGGAAATTTAGACTTGTTCGCTAAAGTCTTTATCATCAAATGGAAATCTGAGGAAATGAAGCAGGAAATGAAAGAGCGGAGCTCCGCACACAGAAAGACCACACAGCAGATCCAGGCCTGGCTGTGCGGTGCTCCCTGCAGGCAGCTGATAACAGCTCCTTGACGTTATCAGAACAGCGGCCTTTATGAGCCCAAAACAGCTGACTGGTAAAACTCTTTTCTTCGTGCTGCGCAAAGAAATAAAGGTTCCTTGTGCAGAATCACAATGCTTGCATTTTGCTCAGAGAAGTTCCTAAGACTGACAACACTTTCGCTTTCGCCAAACCTAGAAAGGTTAGTTTAAGGCACGTTTGAAACGGCGCAGGTCAGATGAAGAGAGGCTGTAGACCAGTGTCCTGGCTGACTGGGAGCGATGGCCTGTGAGCCCTGGACGTGTGGCACGCTCCAGCTGACCTCCACATCCTTGCCTGCGTCAAGCGTGGTGCCTCCCGTCAGGCTCAGCCGCCTCTTCCCTCTCTGTCTCCCACAGCTGGAGTTCTCCGGCACCGCGGTTCTGCACCAGATGCGGCGGGACCAAGTGGCGGAGACCTGCCGGGCCTACAGCGCCGCCAGCCGCAAGCGGCGCGTCTTGACGCCCAGCGACCTCAAGCACATGGTGGTGGATGAGGACCATGAGATGATCTACTGCTACGTGCCCAAGGTGGCCTGTACCAACTGGAAGCGGGTGATGATGGTGCTGACAGGGCGCGGCAAATACAGCGACCCCATGGACATCCCTTCCAACGAGGCCCACGTGCCGTCCAACCTCAAAACGCTGAACCAGTACAGCATCCCGGAGATCAACCACCGCCTGAAGAGCTACCTCAAGTTCCTCTTCGTGCGGGAGCCCTTCGAGAGGCTGGTGTCTGCCTACCGCAACAAGTTCACCCTCAAGTACAACACCTCCTTCCACAAGCGCTTCGGCACCAAGATCATACGGCGGCACCGCAAGAACGCGACGCAGGAGGCCCTGCACAACGGCAGTGACGTCAAGTTCCAGGAGTTCGTGGGCTACCTGGTGGATCCCACCACGCAGAAGGAGGGGCCCCTGAACGAGCACTGGCAGACGGTCTACTCCCTCTGCCACCCGTGCCACATCCACTACGACCTGGTGGGCAAGTACGAGACCCTGGAAGAGGACTCCAACTACATCCTCCGGCTGGCCGGGGTGAGCGACTACCTTCGGTTCCCGACCTACGCCAAGTCCACCCGGACTACCGACGAAATGACAGCCGAGTTCTTCCAGAACATCAGCTCCCGCCACCAGGCGCAGCTCTACGAACTCTACAAGCTCGACTTCCTCATGTTCAACTACTCCACACCGAGCTACCTGAAGATGGACTGAGAACGGGCGGTACTTGAGAGTCGCAAGCTGTCATCGACGCAGGGGTTCAATCACAGAGTCCTGAGACCTGCGGGAGCGTCTGGGCTCTGGTTTGGTATCATTAGTTCCAGGGTGGCTACAGCATTTCCCTAAAAGTTTTACTCATGAGTGGTCGGGGGGAGAAGTTTTACTTTATATCTGCTTGTTCAAGGATGTTCACAGTGGGGGTGGTCACCTTCTCTCTGAAATTCAGGACGCTAGGACAGGTCCTTCCTGAAGCCCCCTCCCGAAAAAACAGGACAACTGCTGGTTTACAGGAATTTGACTCGTGTTTTGCTCCAGAGAGAAAACTACAGCTCAGCTGTACTACAGGTTTTCTCCGTGACTTCCAAACCTTCTGGAGACTCGGGCGGCCACTGCAGTGTGCGTAGCCCCAGACGTCCCGTGATAAAGTGTGTTAGGTGTCAATTAATAATAATTTCATGGTCCACCTCTTTGTATGTTCCTGCTCCAAATGTCTTCTGCTTAGTTCACTATCGACCCATTAGAGAGCATGACGCAGGGTTAATGGTGAGTAACAGCACACTGCTATAAAGTGAATCGTTTCGCCTCCAAAAATCTATAGATTCAGCAGACCACCGAAAACAAAAGCACCTTATTCCTAAAATTATGGTATTTTATTGTTATTTATTTGCTCAGCACAAGCATTTTCCCAGGGCATCTTACAAGAAAAAACAAATGTAAAATTGTGTAAATACGACAGAAAAGCAAAAGGAAATAGGATTGATGAAGCCAGCGCAAAGCTGGAAGAGGAATGCAAGCGCTGGTCAAACCAAACGAAAGGACAACTAAGACATATCAGGGCAGGTTGTTTTCGACCTGAGGTGATTGGAAACGGGCACAAGAGAGCAGCTCAGGGCGAGGGTGTGAGCACTCTCCCCTCCTGAGGGTCCGGTCCGCTGGACAGGGGATGGACCGAGGGGCCGGTTCATCTGAAAAGGGCTGAGCACCTAGAATTCGAACCCCTGCCTTCATGACGAGGCAATGTCTTTCTCTTTGTAACTTAATGATTTTTGTTTGTTTGTTTTGGTTTTTTTTTAGAAGTTGCTGCGAGCAGCAAAACAAAAGATTATTTAAATGACTTTGTGAAAAAGAGAAGTCTCCAGGCAGTCGGAAGCAGAGTTTTTTTAAATAAAAGTCTAACTGTCAGTAATATTATTATTGTTGTTTGTATCTGGTTTGCGCTGTTTCTCTTGTTTTCTTTTTTACACTTTCCATAATGGATGGTCTGTAAATAGGATGTAATTGTCTGTGGGAGAGTGGGGTCGCGTCTCTGAGAGCTGTCTTACCCCTGGGTGAGCTGGGCATGAGTAGGTCTGTGTGTCTGTTACTCTGTGGCATCAGCTCCCTGTGTCTCTATCGACAGCTCATCTACCCCTATCTCTTACGCACTGCTTCACTCTGGAAGCCACGAAGGCCTCTTGTCTGTGCAGGTTAAAATCCCCATGATTACAAGACTGCTCTTGTTTTACAAATCTGCACCTCATTTACTTGTAGCCCAAGATAAATATACAAACTGGCTTCTGCTCAAATTTGCAGTACTGTGAATGCATTCTGCAGTCTGCTGTACTTCAGGTGATATCATATAATATACTGCAGCAGGCCTGATATTCAAAGGGAATTAAGACATTTTTGGTTCTATTCAGGCTGGAGTTTCTTGTAGAGGAACCTCAATCAGCTGTTTCTGTTTGAAACTCAAGAGCTGTGAAATTTCCATTTGTCTTGCGCATCAGGTGCTAGTTAGAACTACTACTACAGCAGCTCACACAAAGGAAGTTATCAACTTTAATTCATACAATTCTGCCACGATAAAACTTGCCTTGCAATCGGCCAATAAATGAGCTTAAAGTACTTTAGTACTTGCAGGTGATAAAACTGTTCTGACATTTCATCTGGGAGAAAATAGAGTCCAGATGACTTCACAGCCAGAGGAGGACGCAGGTAGTGGAAAAAGTAATGGGAAAACCAATGAGAAGTGTCGTGTCACCACGTCTATAGACAACACCAGTGTCGTGCTCATCAAACCGCTGGGCAACCATGTGTGCTCTGTGGATGGGGGTGTGTCATCCTGGAAGACACCCCTCCCAGCAGGAAGGAAATGCTGCAACATGGGGTGAAGATGGACCATTAAGTTGTGATTAGCATTGAGAATTTACCTTGCCATCTAAGGGAATGAGTGAACCCAGTGAACTCATTAGACAAGTGAGCCCCACAGCATTACAGAACCACCAGAACCCCTCACTGTAGGAACCCAGCGCTCAAGGCTGAAGGGATCTTCAGGTTGTGCCACATGTGCATTAGTCTATTTTGGCGAGAACATGGTGAAGGAGGACTCATCTGGCCACATCAGCCTCCTCCACTGTTCAGTACTCCACAGCCCGTGCTCCTGCACCACTGGACTCGCACATGTGCATCTCCGGCTGTGATGAGCGGCTTGAACAGTCCTGGATTAAACTGGCTGCTTACGTCCCGGGTGAAATTGGCAGTCAACTGATCTGCAGTTGCTGCCAGCTTTGTCTTGCATTGTGAATTAATGCGTAGATACCAGGAAACTGGAGTGAGCACTTCCTGTGACAGGATGTCCTTCTTTTAGAGATCACCCTGTCACCTTGGACACCTTTGCTATTGAACCATCAACAGCTCCCAATAATCACCCTTCCTTCAAAGTCACCAAGTCCACTTGCAGCCATGATACCCCTAAGAATTGGCACATGAGCCTAAGCATGCTGGGACATTAGCTTAGTTAACGCAGGACTCCCATCTGTGTGGAAACCCTTGCTTTGTCAATAAACCAGGTGTCCCTAATTTACTCAGGTATTACCATTTTTTCATCCTCTGTCTCCTATGTGCTGGTTCAGGCTGAGCCAGACGATCACAAATAGTAGGCTTAATGCACAAATGGAAGAAATGTCAGAACAGACCATGCGAAAAGACAATTTCTAATGCAAGAAATTGTAAAGGGTTAATAAAGTGATGTTATTATTATTATTACACCTGTGATATAGAGACTTAGATTTTGCCCCCTCTAATGAATCTGTCTGCTGAAATTGTCCTAAAAACGTAAAGTTTGCAAATGACAGGAGGCCATGTGACCCATCTAGCTCATTGGGTTTTTCCCGTACTTGTCCTGCTGATAATTCTGACATCACAGTCCAGAGAACAACTATGGCATCAGAGCACCAGGTATAATGACTAGCATTGCAGGAAAGTGGGAACTGATTTTGAAAAGGAAACCTCCACGATTGGTGTACCTGGCTGCCGGAGTTGTTGCAGTACTTAGACTTCAAGTTACTGGTTCACTTCTCTCTGTCTAGAAACAGTAAATGTCTAGGATTTACTGAAATTAAAAATGGAAAAAAGCAGTTTATGCTTTGGTTTGTGTCATTGTTTCCTGGACCATGAAAAGGGTCTTAAAACACATATAGAAGCCCACAAGGCACAAACAAGATTAGTGGAGTACAGCCCACATTCCCCATTAAAAACAGACACTTTTAAAATATTTTTTTTTTGTTTCCTTTCCTTTTTTATTGCACATCTCTCCTTTAAACTGAAACTGGTTTCCATGAATGTGTCCAAGCCTCTGTTTCTGGCAGCAGGGAACTGGCAGAAAGTGTTACCAGCAGTTGCACGAATGGAAAGGAATTATTCTCAGATAATTCTCTTATTCTCAGTGCTACAGGATCAAAGAGGAGCTGACAAGTGAAACATTTGTTTCTATATAAAAGATCAGTTAAATCACTGGTGAGAAGTCAAAGTCCCTCTGTCAGACCGACTGTACCTACAGTAGTTCAACTCCCATCTTGTCTTATACTGTGACCTTAGATTGAAGGGTCTTGGGCTCCGAACTGGGTGTCAGAACGAATCACTGTTGAGAATAACTGTTGTCTGTTGGGACTTTAGTATAGCAGGTACTCTGCTGTTTCACCACATCCGATTGTTAATTATTCCTTCAGATATCCTTCACTAGGCGTTCATGAAGGACCAAGAGACTCTGATGATGAGCTCTCTCTCTCTCAAAGTGCTTTATTGTGGTTCCTGTTGCATCAGGACACAGTGACGAATGTCTAATCTAGTGCCAAACAAAATTCTAACAATCTATTTCATGAAGTCAGCAAAGCAAGGCCAAACAACACAGCACAGAGTAATTTAAAATTCAAGTACAGGAAACTTGTACATTTCTGTTAGTTTCAGAACATCTCATCCATCCGACTCCCCCCAAAAAGTATTTAGACAGATTAAAACCGCCAATCCAGGTGTAAGCAAGTAAAAAAGTCCCAAGACGCTCCAGTTTAATGTAATCACTTCTGTGCTTAGCGGTTTCATCTTTCCTTTGCCCTGTTCCTTCACTGACAGTTTTGTAGAAGAACGACTCTGTTACAGCTACAGGTTTGGGGGTGAAGGTAGCCACACTCTCGTCTTGACTGTCATTGATAAGAACTGATGTTTACACAGGGGGGAAAGACAGGCATCTTAACTATCAATATATTCGTCAATTCCAGATTCTGTGGCTTTCCTTGTAACAAACAAATGCTTCATTTTGTTTTTGTTTTGTCCAGTGTTGTATAAAAAAAATATGTCTGTGTCATAAGAGCCCTTTCTCAGTCTACAGTTTTAGTTTTTATGAAAGATGCTCTTCTTGTGTTCCAGTCTCATCTGCTTGTGTCAAAACCTGTACAGTGCTAGAAAATGACTTATTTTATACCATCTTCATTACCTGTCTCTCGAGCTCTGTAATTCAATGCCAGTCTTGCTCCTCAAATTGTTTTAGACTGGTTGGTCTACAGCAACATAAAGTGTTTTTATTCTAAGTCAAAATGGGAACATTTGCAAGTTACACACTCTACTCCTGCAATGGGCCATTCAGCATTGTGCAACGCTGAAAAACTTCCCCCACGTTCCCTGACAAAGTGCTCCCAGCTCTTTTGCAAGAATTTCAGCTTTGGGCAGACAAATGACATCTGCCCTCAGATCCAAATATGTTACATCTGCATGCCTCAGAAGAATGAAGATGGTATAAGAAGTCCTTTAAAATGTACTTACTGAGTGTATTTTTTGAAAAAATATTATCACCTGCAGAATAATCTAGCACTACTGTGTGGAAGTGACTAAGATTAATACTCCTGCCAGGAGGTTCAAGACAGACCTCGTGCATGAAATTGCCCTTGAATCGGAAAGAAACTAGAGGTAATATTAAACAAGAGAGATCAATGTTTTTTCCTAATTGCCTCAGCTTAAACAGCACGTCCTGCTGTTCCAGAATGCCTTAGCCTAAATTTCCACGCATACTAAACACCTGGGAGTAGTTAAAGTTTTACAACAGCTTAGGTGTCCCTGTTAATTAACCAGCACCCCTCTCCGAGCAGCTAGGCCAGGCAGCGGTGTTTGTGTTCTTTCTCCATCAGTTACTTCATAACAGTAGTATATCAATTGTGCAAATACTGGAAGTGTATGTTTTCAGACTCAAGGAGCTCTTCTTTAGTGTATTTTTGTCATTCTTCAGGTATAAACTGTGTCAGGTAAGGTATTGAAGCATTCATTGCCTGTTAGCAGTTTTAATATTGATTTAGGGGGCAACTTCAAACACGCGGTCTGGTCCAGGCAGGACCTGGATTGAAAACAGTGTGCAGGACCCAGGCAGGAGTCCCAGCACGACAGGCTGAGCTGCAGGGGATACACCAGAGGGTCTAGATCTCGTGTTTCAAATAGAAACAAAATAACATATACACTGTATGTAAAGTTTTAATCACATAGCTTCTTTCACACAGCTGTATCCATATTTTATCTTTCAAAAATTCAGTGTGTAACCTTGGCTTGTAACCTGACCATCTCTCAGAAAGCATCAGTATTACATTTAAACCAGCCGTACTGCTATGCTTTTTAAAATCAAGAACGTCAGAATAAACCTCATTGTTTCATCACAAAAGAAGCTGCACTATAAATGATGTAAATTCCTGCTGGGTCAATGTGACTGTAGTGTTGGGGTTTCCAGCAATCCTCCAGAGCACAGCTGTCACTCACCATGCTGGGGCCCCTCCAGTCCATGTCCTCAGGACTTTGAGAAAGCTCATCGCGGTCCAGCTCTTCATCAATTGGAAGGTCCTGGCTGGAGCAAAGTTCTGTCGTGGAGCAGGGGGAACGGCCACAGGTCTGATGAGGTGGCTGTGCCCTGGGGTGTTGCTGGGAAGAATGAAGTCTGACGACATTCATGAACGTTGTTCAGGAGCCCCACACTGTCTACTGTATAGCAAATGATTCCATGTGTAAAGAAACTCTCAGATTCTTACTATTGTTCTAATTTATTTATTTATTCAGAAGAGGTTTATTCGAGATGGAGATTTTTTTCCTAATGAATTGTTTCAGGCAAGGCTACATAATTCGGAGTCCTTTATCTAAATCGGCTCTGCGGTCTCCTGTGGCAGGGCTGCTGTTTGAAAGGCAGACCGCAGGAGTACGCAGGCAAAGTCATCTTCAGGTGTTTTCTCAAATAAAACTGCAATTCAAACTTTGGCTGCCTCTGTGCCATTTCCTTCTTATTGTATTTGTCTTTTTTAGATTCTAATGGATGGCAGGGATTTGTCTTATGTGTTAAATGGCTATTTTATTTTATTTATGAAATGACTATTTCACTTGAGTATTTACGAAGGACAAAACTGTCGACAGCCCTAGGCTCAGCAAAGACTAATTTCTGTATGAAATAGCATTGGCACAGAAATACACCTGCTTCAGCTACTCTTACAGGTCTGTAGGTATCTATCAGCTTTCTGGGTCTGTTCAAGAACCTGAAGAGCTGGGAGAAGCTGGTTAGTTGGTTCCATCAAGTCAATAGTGAGCTGATTTAAGTGATTAAGAGCTGATATGGAATGAAAACCTGTTGCTACTGAAACCCAGTGGGAGCAGTACTTCCTTGTACCCAGGCCCTGACGGTATCCTACCACCTATCCTTAAGGAAACAAGCCAAGTGATGATATTTACATAGGCCAGGAACATAAAACATACAACAGTCGCTCAAGACGGGCAAAGCTGAGTCCAGAGAATTTTTAATGTAGCACCCCATCAGAGGGGTGACAAAGTAATTATAGGTGAATCAATAAATCTGACTTGATGTAAAGCAATGGAAATTACAACGAGGACTTAACACTTAAAGCAATAGCGTTGATGTAGAAAAGTAAATTTGCTGACGAACATTGCTCATTCTGAGCAAGCGATAGCAGTTAGAGGTACAAACAGCCTATAGGATATGTTATATTTAGGCTTTGAGAAGGCTTTTCATAAAATGCTATACGAAAGGTTAATTCTAAAATTGTAGGTATCAGATAGTGCAATACATGTGTTTAACTGAGGCCTGGAAAGAAAACAGTAGAGATCAGGGTAGAGGTTCAGCAGGGGTGATTTCATTAGTGGAGTACCTCGGGGATCTGCACTAGCACCCCTGCGCTTCCCGATTTAGGTCAATGACCTTCATGCTAGTAAGGTGAGTCAACTAGTCATGTTTCAGTTCAGTTTGTTGCCACGTGCACAGGTACAATGGAATGCTTATTTCCACATATGCTCCAATACAAAGGCATTAAAGGAATTAAAGGCAAATGATATCAAAATAAGAGGCTTAGAACACACCACAGAACCTTCAATTCAAACAGATTTAAATTTCATGATGGGCAAATGGTCTTATTTGGTCACATTTAACGTAGACAAGCGTTTATGGTGTTTATGTTGACACGTCATTTGAAACAATGCAAGGAAGCAATTATTAGCCAAACAATGGTAGCATGTTAGGTAGCACTTTTAGCAACTAAAAATAAATAATTTAAATCAATAATTGTTAAAATTGTACAATTTACAAGTAAGACTTAATTAACGAATATTGTGTAAAATTTCAATTTGGTCGCCACATTATAAAATTATATTTTTTGATACTATTGGAATCAGTCCAGAGAAGGAGGAACAGAAGACAGGCTGAAATAATTTAAACTGTTTATTCTTGCTATCAAGGAGGACTAGATTCAAGTATTCAAAATCCGTAAAGGCACTGACAAAGTCAACAGGGAAACCGGAGTCAGAGGACACAAGCAGAAACTCTGTGGACGTGTATTTAAAACCAAGTGCATCTTTTGCACAGAGAGCTGTAGGAGTCTGGAACAAGCCACCCAGCCTTATTATTAAGGATTAATGACCCAACCAGCCAGATTGGCCACACGGCCTCCTCTCGTTTGTTAACTTTCTTACATTTGCATGTTTTAATTATGACTGCAAAGGTACCACAAAGGTCAAATGCAGAAGGTTCATGGAAATAATATTTAACCATGAAGGAATGCTTATTCCCCAAGATACCCATCTCTTCGCAGGGAAACGGGAAAACAGTCTCAATATTGACATCCCAGTCTTTATATATTACCTAACTACACAGTGCTCAGCCCTCTGTAAACAGCTCTGGGAACAGCAGTAGATGCTTCCTGTATCAGCAGAGCAGAGGCTGGCCGACTCCTGTTAAATTAATCCCCAGGATCTCCAGAAGACGAATCCCTGAAGAGGCACAAATCTCCTGTGAGCACAAAACGGGTGATTTTGTTTTATTAAGTGACTTTGCCAGCGTTCAAATTTCATAGTCACGCGCTAGATCATTTCTTTTAGTGCTGTTGATTTTTCGACTTAAAATAAAACCTACTGCTGCATGAGCACTGAAGCACATGAAGAAAAAAGACCGGGAGAATCAGATTAGGCCCGATAGTGCTTCTCGTAGTAATCTGCCCCAATTAAGATGAGAAGGCCTGGACGCGAGCGCCTTTCCTGTTTCAGCCTGGTAATATTTCTACAGTCAGGGTTCAGGCTGTCAGCAGTGAAAGTCCCAGGTCGCTCTTAACTATTAAAGGTATTGCTCCTACTTGAACACATTGGTTGTTATTGCGTACAGCCTCATATGAATGCTTCAGTAGAGGATCTGTTTCTTTATTTTAACTAGAGCAAAGGTATAGATTTCACTGTTGCCACCAGCTCTGAAACTGCAGCAGAGCCAACGCCAATCCATCGCTCAGAGGGAGCTGGAGTTTCTTCCAGAGCACTTCGATACTGCTGAGTCAGGGACTGCCGGGGCGCGGAGCACTGGGGAGAACTGTACACTGACAGGGGGAAACTAAAGTATGGCCCAAGCGAAGAGGAATATGTCTCCTGGACTGGAGAGGGAACAGGTGTGTCAGTGCAAGGACGAAATACAGAGGGAGCACAGGGCGACCAGTTCCTAAAAGGATTCCTCTGATAAGTTACAGCAATCCAGTAATCTCATTAGTGCACTTATTCCTCACTGCCTGTGCCTCAGAGGAGTAGGGACACATTTCTCCGGAGAAGCCGAGAGCCTGTTTGGAAGCTGTTAAGGCTGTCAGAGGTCACTGGATGTCTCTTTACTGAATGCTTGACTGCCAATCCAATCACTCCTCCCGCGGCAGCATGATTTTGAACTGAAATGAGCAAAGAGTGAAGTTTTGTGAAGGAGCAGCCTTCCCTCTGCTCTTACAGGTCAGGCACATATCCCTGCCATTAGCCAAGTCCTGGTCTTCCTTTGTGTGTTCTCCTTCAGCCGGATTCCAGGAGACAGATTCCTCCTGTACCTCGAGTGCTGACCGGGACAGAGAGAAGCTGCAGCCCTCCTCCAGCTTGTCACAAGCACACTTTCTGCAGAAACACCAGACTTCTCCGTCAGTTTGAGTCTCAGCAGCGATACCAGTCCTCCCCAGTCCCCTCGGAGCCTGAACAGCACCAGTTTTCCACTGCACACACTGCTGGAGCCCGGCAACCTGACCACAGCAACCTGGCACGCGACAACCTACAGCTAAAACCTTAGCACTTCAAAATAACTGCTTTCCATTTTCAGCACTGAAGTCTGGGACCGGATCACAGACTGGCTTCTCATTATTTCCAATCTGCAGGCTCCGTCCTCCTGGTGAGTTAACAAGCGCTGCTGCTAACTGTTACTGGACACAGGAGCCATTCCGATCAGCCAGCCTGTGCAGAGGTGTCTGCTTGGACACTCAGGACACTCTCCAGTATATGGAGAATAAACGATGACCAAGGGGGTCTTTCTCATTGGCTCTGTAGGACTGCAGACAGATCAGCCAAGTGTGCAGAGAAACCCCGCTGGAGATTTAAAGCACATTAGAGACGGAAATCTCACCAATTACTTTGTGCGGTTCTAACACAAGGATTGCTAAAGCAGAATGTTTTAATAGGACACCAAAGTCTCAAAATTCCTGCACAGAGACAGTTCTTGGTATTTATCATCACTCTTAATGGGCAACTTGGGATATGAACAAGAAAAAGAAGTCACTTTAGCAAAGTCAAAAACACCTTTAACAAGCAAGATGTAGGGGAAATCTTTCTATACTGTAGTAAGGCCGACAGCCTTGCTCTCCAGCTGCCTAAGTTTTCAGTTTCAGGGTCCAGAATGGTTCAGCTTTATGACCGACCTTGGTCCGACGGCGGTCTCACGGCTCTCAAACACAATTTACAGCCATGCAGCGCAGGACCCTCTCACCCACACGCTTACAGCGCCCCCTGGAGTGGTCCCCACCCTGAACGCATTTCCTGTCAATAACCTTTTCTACCAGCAGGGCAGCAGATTGGCCAAGGGTACCAGGGTGGGACCCAGTCATGCCAATATCTGAGTCAGCTGGGGGGTCGAACGCTACTTCTGCCCCTGTACTGACTTCTCCGCTGGACTCTACAAGCGACACATCGATGACTGTGCCATCGCTGCTGCCTGCTTCAGCAGTCAGCGACCGCAATCCCTACACCACGTCAGCCAGCGCACCTCCCACCACTCTTCCTTCTCTGGACACGCCTCTCCGTCCACACCGCGGACTGACCGCCACCTCCTTCCCACTTGCTCCAACGGGACTGTGGATACCCCTCACAAGGCGTTGTTCCAGCAGTGCAGCCATCTACTGCATCTCTTGCAGGAGGGGTTCTGCTCCAGGAGTCCCCCATTTCTCCCATCTCTCCCAGCCGTGACCTCACTGACCTTTCCATCTCCATCCTTTCAACGGGCTTCCAGGACTCATATTCCAGCACGGCTTCAGAAGCCAAGAGTGTCTTTCAACCTGTTCTCAATGATCGACTAATTTCTTCCTGCAGCCTCTCCATTCATTTACAGATCTCAGCTGTTCGCACGTCTTTCCCAGATCTCCCTCAGCTGGCACACCCACTCTCACCTCCTCTGTCCTTCTTCCTCCTGGGCTTTACTTCCCTGCTGCGTTCCTCCCTTCCCTCACACCTGAAGAAGCTCACCAGCCGAAAGTATTACTAGAGTCTCCAGATCAGCTGCAGTACTGACATCTACAGAATCTGCCAGCACCGGGGAAGAGGTGTTTTCAGTCGAGCTGATTTTTAACCCCTGATTAAATTAACCTGCGCTCGGAGCTTCTGTCGGGAAATCAGCCTCCTTGTTCCATGATAACCACTCGCCTTGTTCCCTTCAATCTCAATCAATTTGAATTGACAGAAACAGCAGCTGTAGAT